CCCATCTCATGCCATTCTAATGCTTGGAAGAGCCAGGACAATTTTTTATATAACTACAATTGGATTAGTCTGAAAGAAGAAAGTCATATTGTTTGTTTTGACATGGATGCTTTGAGGGTGAGTAAAATATGGGCTAATTTTCATTTTTGGGTGAACTAACCCTTTAAGTATTATAGCTCAATGTGTCAGTGCACAAGCACTAGGCCACAAGGTGTGTAAGCTTCTGCACAATACTAGGACTTCCTGATGAGCGTGTCCTGAGGTTATGGATGAGTGAGCAAGACAAACTTCTGAGTCCCAAATGAAGCCCCTCAGACCACTCTCTGGTCATACGGAGCACGGTTCACACATCGCTGGACCACAAACAGCAACCGAGCTGAACTTCAGCCATATGAGAAAGCTCTGTGACGGCAGACAGCTCAAATTCTTCCCTTCTGACAGAACCACTAATCACACCCAATCAGCTGCTGGTAGTAAATGGGCCCGAATGGACGGCTAGCGGTGAAGCATCCCGGCCCACTGTCTGATACCACACACACTGAGGTAAACAAATATCACACAGCCCATTAATCCTCCAGCTCATTCCACGGCCTTCTGCCAGCCTGTGAACCGGCAATGGCATTTTACGAACTCCGTATCAAATGTAAGGACACAAAGGGAAAAAAAACAGACGGAGGAAGAAACAAAAGAGGCGAGGAAAGGGTTTCAAACAAAAACAAGGCCATTAAAAGCCAGGCCATCCGGTGCGCTAAGGTGCCACGAGTCATGATCTTCGAGCGGATCGGGTTGCGGCGGTGATGCGGGCAGGCTGGGGCGCTGAGGTGTGTTATTGTGAATGACAAGCTCCAAGCGCACACCCGCGGGATAATGGCCACCAACTCGCTCTGATGGACACACATATACATACACTTCCCTCATCACACACTTTCGCCTGAATTCACATGTAAATGTGCGTGTGAAATACTCAAGCACTTTCCCCACCATGATATGCCATTAGTATCAGGACGGATTTCAGTAATTCTGTTAAATTGCAGCCGGTCCTGTAATTTTCCCCTGCTCTGTGACAGGATGAGTCCGAGCGAGAGGGAGGGGCAGCCAAAGAGTGACACGCATCGTGAAAAGAGAGACGGAGCGTGTATTTTCACCATCACTGTGTGCACAATGCAAAGAAGAAACACTTTTATTGTAATTGCGTCTTACATGAGCATGGAGAAATCCACCGTGGAATTCAGATAATGGCTGATTAATGTCCCAATGCGGATAGACAGGTGTCTCGGACCTCACTCTCGCACGTAGACATGCTCGCATGGCCGCTCACGCTGAACGCCGACTTTAAGAAACTAATTAAGCGTGTGGCCACCTTTTGATAGCGCCGTGATAAGTAATACAAAATGCTAATTGACGTCCTAAGTGGTTTAAAAAGTAAGGCAAGGCACACCTAATGTGATGGCCCACATTATTTGTGACAAACTAAACTAAATTATTTCATTAATCTGGGATGGTGAAAATAAGAGGGCAAACACACCTGCAGGGAAGTTTCTAGTATGCCTATAAGAGCTTGATTAGCTGGTTCAGGTGTGTTTAATTGGGGTTGGAGCTAAACTCTGCAGGACACTGGCCCTCCAGGACCGAGTTTGGGCACCCCTGGTCTAGCCTGTTTTCAGTTAAAGGCACAATATATAATTTTCGCCGCTAGAGGGCGCATATTCAAAATAAACAAAGAGACAAAGGGGTAGTTTGATGATGCCGTGACTGAGTGTGGAATCATGGGATTTGTCGTCCCACAGCCGATGCAATCCGACGGGACTCGGGCAGAAATCATGTTCATGGATGAGCTAATGATTTATTAACGTACGTAAATGAAGCAGGGTGAGGCTGAAAGCGCCTGAATTCACATGTAAATGTGCGTGTGAAATACTCAAGCACTTTCCCCACCATGATATGCCATTAGTATCAGGACGGATTTCAGTAATTCTGTTAAATTGCAGCCGGTCCTGTAATTTTCCCTTGCTCTGTGACAGGATGAGTCCGAGCGAGAGGGAGGGGCAGCCAAAGAGTGACACGCATCGTGAAAAGAGAGACGGAGCGTGTATTTTCACCATCACTGTGTGCACAATGCAAAGAAGAAACACTTTTATTGTAATTGCGTCTTACATGAGCATGGAGAAATCCACCGTGGAATTCAGATAATGGCTGATTAATGTCCTAATGCGGATAGACAGGTGTCTCGGACCTCACTCTCGCACGTAGACATGCTCGCATGGCCACTCACGCTGAACGCCGACTTTAAGAAACTAATTAAGCGTGTGGTCACCTTTTGATAGCGCCGTGATAAGTAATACAAAATGCTAATTGACGTCCTAAGTGGTTTAAAAAGTAAGGCAAGGCACACCTAATGTGATGGCCCACATTATTTGTGACAAACTAAACTAAATTATTTCATTAATCTGGGATGGTGAAAATAAGAGGGCATCTGTAATTATTTCAGCAGGGCCTGAAGCTTTCACATGGGCACAGATACGGCCACTAACCTTCCAGCTTGCCATGTTTGGATAGCACTCGGACCAAGGCCACATACTTCTGAGCATCCAGCGCTACTTCAGAGTCCTTGCGAGCCCTGAAACGCCAAAGAAGAAAGAGTAAACACAGGTTGACAAATTAATTTTTAAGTCACATTCTTTGTGCTGCGAATGTTTCAGATTTAAAGGGATAGTTCACTTGAAAATTAAACTGTCATTTTCTGCTCACCCCCTCATGTTGTTACAAATCCTTCTGAATTTATTTCATTTGTGAAAATGTGATTTTTTTTTTTTTTTTACAAGCCACTTTAAATACTAAGACTGTCTAGCTCCAAAATGACCAATGCGCACCACAAAAGTGGTTCATATGACTCACATAGGATAGTGATTGTCTGACCAAAAAACAAACAAAATTAAAGTCATTATTCACTGATCATTTTGACATTTACTCTACTTCACTCTCGCATGTTAATGAGCACTCGTAAGAGAAGTAAGATGTGAACTAGGGCTGTCAAATCGATTAATCACATCCAAAATAAAAGTATGTGTTTACATAATATATTGTGTATATGTATATAAAAACACACGCACATATATGTATATATTTAAGAATGACATATAATATATATTTCTTTTTTTTTCCTTGAGAAAATTTGGCATGTGGCCTACTGTACCTGATATATATATCCAAAATAATCTATATTGAATCGAATCGAATCGCAAGCTTGTGAATGAGCATCGAATCGAATCGAGAAATTTGTGTCAAAACCTACTAACCCAGCCCTATGCCTTATGATAGTGGTGGGCTTCAATGTTCAAATTTCCAATGGTATTATTGGGCAGCTAAATTGAGATGTATTATGTTTTTTTTTTCTCTTTCCAAAGGCCCATCTACGTGGTTAGTAGTGCTGTGTTCGATACATCGATACGACGGTGTAACGTCACAGAGATTTGACGATACGTGTATCGATACAGCACTAGAAGAATAAAGTGCAGTAAAATAAAGTGCAGTAAACTGTAAAACTATTTGCACTACAATTTACCAGTTTGCAACATCAACAGACTATTCTGAACAGCTAAAATAACTGGCAACGGCTGACACAGGAAGTCTTGCACATTCAAGTAAAAAATGGCCGAACCCACCCTTGGGTTTAAAATAAGATGCATAATAAAAACCATTAAGTCCAGAACACTAAATATACTCATGGGTATTTATGAGGATAATAGAACTCACCTCCTCAGCACACAGGACAGTGATTACTTTTTTGAGGGTGGAACTGGCTGTCTTGCCCTCAGCTTTCAGCTCTGCCAGGGTCTTCTCCAGAAATGAAAGTTTTCCCTCCAAACTCTGACAAAAACACGAGGCTATTTGACTCACACAGCTCAGCTCATGGATTGAACATATTTGGTTAAAAAAACAATTTGTGCTGTCAATCGATTAAAATTTTTTTTACCGAATTAATCGCAATTTTTTTCTGAAATCAATCACGATCCCACCTAACAAAGTTTTTAAATATACTTTTATATTGAAATAATTTCACATTCAATCTTCAAATTAATGTAGAAACAAAGACAGTATATTTTTTAATATTTGTTTAATGGCACCTTTTTTATGACTAAATACTACTGATGTCTCGGTGAAATAGTTTTTTTCCCCACTAATATTTAACGATTGACTAAAGCCATTCAACATTACAGTAGCTATAATTGAGAGCTATCAACTTTAACATTTATTAGACTTTTTAAAAAAAATTCTAATTTAAGTGAACTTAAGTGAAACAATCTTCACATAAACCCATTATAATAAATGTCATATTTAGCTGTCTGTGCCCTTCAGCAAGTATGAAATATTCAGAAACTGAATAAAGAATAATTATCAAACACTAAATTCTAAATTAAATATAGATGAATCCTTAAAGCTCTTTTTTCTTTTGTCCTTTGATTAACAGACATCACAGCAGCTGGTTATTAGGCTATTTTGTCTGCTTTAAGAGCTGCCGCTCCTGAACATGACGCGGATCTGACACGCATCGTATTTTCTCACAGCTCTTCACCTTTTCTGACCCACTTCAGGTCTTAAAGTCTCTATTAATGAGCTGACGAGTTGAATCAGGTGTGTTAGATCAGGGAGACAGTGCTGGGTGCTCCAGGATAGTTTGGAAAAGCACTGCATTTCAGAGACGTGTTCTTAAATGTGACTCATATATAACAAATACTTACATATATGCACAGTTTTAAGGCAGCTTTAATCGCCTTTTTGGTAACTTCATGATTGATGACATAACTATGACATTGCATGCTCGTAGTTTCTTTTGCGCTTTAATATGAAATGATACACAGCGTGCGCCGCCACATTTGTGTGCAATTGAAGAGCACGTGCTACGAGCACAGTATAACGGCTGACAGGACAGTAGAATTGGTTTTTACTGACATATGGCCTGACAACATCTCATCTGACCACAGTTCAGTTATTCTACTGAAGCTCCCTCGTCACCTGTACCTTTTCTGTGCTCGTTTGACTAGCACCTGGCGCTGAGGTGAAGTTGGACTGTGTGTCTAAAGTGTCTCCTGTTTGATGTGGTCGTATACCATAAACGCAGTTCTTGTCAAGAAAAAAATAAACAGAAGCAGCAGTTGTGAGTGGGGGTGGCCAACCCTAGCTCCGCCCCTGCGTTAATTGCGTTAAATATTTTTAATGCCGTTAAACTGAAAAAACTAATGACATGCCGCATGCGTTAACTGGTTAATTTTGACAGCACTAAAAATATATATATATACACATATATATATATATATACACACACACACACACACAAACACTTACTCTAAGCAGTGTTGCTTCATTCTCCAACCCATTGTCCTTTTTATCCACAAGAGCAAGGACATCCTGAAAGATAAAATATGACCTGCTCTATTAACTGTACTATTACAGATCTGAATAAAACCATTATGTAAATATTAGAGGTGGTTTTGTTAATATTAGTGGGAAATCTCTATGATGCCAGGGTGTTGCTATGCATTTACTAGGGTGTGGTTGCTAGGAAGCTGCTAATTAATGCACAAGTTTCTCCATTATAAGTGTCTTTGGGTTTTTTAGTCATTTTATTGTCTGCAAATAAAGTCTTTTCACTTATAGAAGTAACAGCACACCTCTAATGTTGAATTTTGGTATCATTCATGGCTGAAAGCTGAATGGAATGGCAATGGTGTTAACATAATATCCCCAAGTATAGTAAAATAATACTTGCCTCTGCAAACACCACTAAATAATAAAATACCTTGACAAGCTCTGGAACTTGGTAGGACTCCAGAATGTTCCTGATTCCTCTGAATATGTTCAGCGAGATGCTGATATTCTGAAAGCAGAGAAATTATTAACACAAAGTAACTACTCAACAAGAAAAATAAAGATTTACCTGAACTATTTTCACGCTCATTAAGTCGTTTCAAAATGGCCTTTAGCTTTGCTTCAGAGCTTCTGTATGTATGTATGTTTTTATGTTTATATTTTGATCACTTATGTATTTTGAATAATGTTACATTTGAAAGCAATTAATCAAAACTGTGGATGCAGAATTAAACATTTCTTGTTCTTTGTGTTCTTTTTAGGTAGTTTTTACTTTGCAAGCTAAACGTTCTGCGTACTAGCTGTAGCTTAGCATACCGACATTTGATGAAAAATACAGTAAAACAGTAACATTGTTGAAATATTACAAAGTTTTCTATTTGAATATACTTTAAAATGGAATTTATTCCTGTGACAGAAAAAAGCTGAATTTTCAGCAGTCATTACTCCAGTCTTCTTTGTCACATGAACCTCAGAAATCATTCTAATATGCTTGTTTTTTTTTACTGCTTAATATTTTTGTGAATCATGATATTTTTTCTTCTCTGGATTTATTGATGTTCAAAAGAACAGCATTTATGAAAAACAGAAATCTTTTATAACATTATAAATGTCTGTACTGTCACTTATGACCAAATTAATGCTTACTTGCTGAATAAAAGTATTATTTTCCTTAAAAAAAATAAAAAAATAAAAACCCTTGTCCCCAAATTTTTGAACAACAGCGTACAAATGTTTTTGTTTTGCCACCTGTTGGGGTCCTACACAGACTCGATTTAACAGGCAGATTTAACTGTTCATGACACTTTGCTTGAGTGTTTGCAAACGTACCATGTTCCTGAGCAGGCCAAAGTACTCCCTAAGCTGCTCTTCTTTGGAGTGCACCTCAGTCTCGTTCATGGAATCAATCAAGTTGTAAAGGAAGTAGGCCACATTTTCTGCAAAAAAAGGAGAGAAGAACCAATTTGACACTTCCTGCTTTCTATAAATACACTACTAGAGTCATATAAAACCACAAAGGGAGCTTCTGTTGGAACAGAACAACAAAAATATTGCAATCCAGCAAATAAGCTCTTAAACCAAGTATGTGTGTGTTATGCTGACACAGGCAGCTTTGCTGCAGACTTGACTGAAGTATGGTTTAACGAGTGGCTGGCAGCTGACAGCCTCACGCATACATTTGCGTTGTGCACAGTGATGGGATGAGACAGAGAGACCATCTCCATCGCTCCCACCTGTTCGGACACCAGCGCAGAGGCCAGCTTCAGTGCAGCGAGACGACAAACACTCGCAGAAGCAAGCAGACAGCTCTCACATAAACATGCACACAGCTACTATTCAGACTGCATCAGACACATACACACTCAATGCAAAGTACAGCTGTCAGGATAAACTCCATCACTGCCAGTGGCCCTACAGACCTCCGCGCGCACACACACACACACACACACACACACACAATACTGTCAATGAAACCAGCTCAGAGGACATCTAGGCATTGAGATTTACTAGTGCAATATTTCCCAACCAGCGTAAGAGCTGGTATTATACTGGCTATCAGCTAGGATTATCATGAATATTATGTCAATTAAAAAAGAAAATAAATCAAAAGAAAAAAAGTGAATTCATGCAGCATAGAATTTTTTTTCTCCCCCTTTTCCACAAATTTTCATTTTCCAAAAAAAAAAAAAAAAAAAAGAGTTAAATACATAAGCAGGCAAATACATAATGTTAAAGGGTTGGAAAAACAGTGCAAACAAGCAACATACCAGAAGTTTCAGGTTCAGTACTATTGAACCGAGGGTCTTTACAGAGAAGCTCAGTGATCTGTAACAGCAGATGAAGGGGTGACTTTAACAAAGGTTCTTTTCATTTGTTTTCCATCATCTTTCTTAAAATCTCTTGGTTTCACTCTTACCTTTGCCATAAGCTCCACATTGTGAAACCTGTAGGGGGCAGTAGAGGATCAGAGATAAGTCGCATACAGACATAGACAAAAACATTTCTAGTGCAACTTTCAAACAAAATATTTCAGTTAAACATCTGCTAAAGATTAATTTCAAGATCAAGTACATATTTGGTGTGACAGGGCTTCATTTGACCAGTTGGAACATATAGCAGGGTTCTCACACTTTTGACCAATGAATCTCAGTGATTTCTTTCCATGATTATTTTTTCCAGTTACCCATTATTACTGATAAAGGATTTTTTTTTTATAATTACATACAGACAGCACTCAAATATTTTATAGCTGAGAATAACTACAAAATAATTATATAAAAATGTATAAAACATGTATACAATTATTTAATTAAGCATACAGCACAATCCAAAAGACTGGGTTGATTGACAATTTTGAAAGAAGTATTTTATTCTCACCAAGGCTGCATATATGTAATCAAAAATAGAGTAAAAAATTTTTTTTTATATATATACACACACACACACATATACATACATATATATATATATATATATATAGTGAATTATTATGATTTAAAATAAAATTATTTTATATTTTGACTGCTTTGAAACTATATGTATCTATCTATCACTATATAAATACATGCTAATTGAACTGAATGCATTTTATTGCTGTGATGGCAAAGCAGAATTTTCAGCAGGCATTATTCCAGTCTTCAGTGTCACATAATCCTTCAGAAATCATTCTAATATGATGATTTGGTGCTCAAGAAACATTTATTATTATTATCAATGTTAAAAACCGTTGTGCTGCAATTTTTTTAACCAAAATACATTTTCTACAGGATTCTTTGATATACTTTGGTAGAAAGTTCAAAAAAACATTTATTTGAAATAGAATATTTTGTAACATTATAAATGTCTTTACTGTCACTTTTGATCAATTTAATACATCCTTGCTGAATAAAAACACATTTCTTAAAAAAAACAAAAAAAAATTGCTGACCTAAAACTTTTGAACAGTATACATAGTAGGATTATGTTATGTTTTGAATAGATTTTAATAATAATATTATACTCATCATGTTATTATAATATATTGGTAGTATACCTTATGGACCTAAAAAAAAAGCCTTCTAGAGCCTCAGTGGTCACACATATACACAAATGCACATTCACATGCAGTCCGACAACACACTGAGAAATGCAGTGTGATGCAGTGCTGGTGGGGAGTGTTGATGGCAGACAGCAGGGAGGCGAGGAAGGAAAAAAGATTCAACATTGTTTAATGATTAAATTATCTACTGACCTTGATTATTACAAGAGCAGGTCGCTAAGGAGACAGGGCCCCGACAACCCCCTCTACCTTCTGACAACCCCAATTACAAACCTGACATCCATCGCTGCCGGCAACCTCCCTGCTCCGCTTTCACATCTAAATGCTTTGCTAAATACAGAGGACAGCAGCATCTGCTGCCCTATGGCCTCTGTACTCAAATCTGAGTTAAAAACAGAGCTGGTCCTTAACTATTGTGCATGATGGGATTGATTTTTGACTATGAGGTGACGAATGAGTGGCTGTCTAGCCAAAAGACAGAAAATTCTACTAGCACGCACACACACACAGTTTGTTTCATTACTCACCCTCTGAATCCAGAGATCAGACTGGCTCTGAAAGCACTGAGGTCAACGTTTGGAAGAGCAGGTGAAGACACTGCAAGAGTGTGAATGTGATGAATGTCATGACAAGAGAAACATTTAACCTCTTTTATTTATTTATTTATTTTTTATTGTAACTAAAGCTCTTTTTCTTAGTGAGCTGCATGTTGACTTACTGTGCGTTCACACCACCGCCGTGGAGAGAGTCAAAAATCACTCTGGCCGCCATGCCAACAACGCTGTAAAAAGATTTGTGGACGCTCTGACGTAGATCGAATGCTTATCTTGTATTTAAAGGGGTCGCAAAGCAAACAAGCTTGTTGATCTTGTGCAGACTGACCACAAGGAGGGTAACGTTATAAGTTAACCTCATTAAATATTGTTGTGGACGAAGTATTAAGATCCTTGTAATGTATAAAGCACTAATACCACACTGTAAAAATACTGTCTCTGATACAAGTAAAAGTCCTGCATTGAAAATGTTACTTAAGTATAATCAGGTATAAACATTACTTAATGTAATGTAATTATTAATTGTTATTAATGTAAGTATAATCAGGAAAATTGATTTAAAGGTTTAAAAGTGAACTGGGACTATTATATTATTAATTTATTATATCATTCGATTATTATTCCTATAACGTTAATGCACATCAGCAACTCACCAGGAACACCAACAATCTCAGACACCTCGGTCCACGCATCATTTTTTTATTATTATTTATGTCCCCGTACGCAAACAGGGACATGTCGTAGATTATTGGGAAACCCGCCACAGCAATAATCAACCTCTCCTCCATTTTGCTTGGGAACTAATGTGGTCGGAACCAACGTTTACAGGACTGTGTTCTCTGAAATCCTCTCAAGTGGTGGACTTCTACATTTCGATTGGTTGCCGCCGAACCGCGTCATAACTCATTACCATAAAGTTGACCTGATTTCAACTCTCCTCGACGCCCTCAACGTCCAAGACACGCCGCGCTGCTGCTCGCCGCTGGCTCACATTGAAAATGAATGACTTCCGGCCACTTTGACGCTCTCGACGGCGTCGGTGTGAACGCACGGTTATTATGGATTTACACATTTTGGCCAACTATCTGGGTTAAAAAAAGGTAATTCCAGTACTAAAATCCCTTTTGAATTCAAATGAACCCAATAAGAATAAAGTCCAATCTTGAAGAAAAAAAAAAGAAGAGAGACAGCAGGGGGCACAACTGTGAAGGGGAAAAGGTACCATCCATAATTCAACATGATCTGTCCCTATTCACTTTGGTCAGATGAGGAGCTTCACTCCCTTGCTTCATTTTGCATATATATATATATATATATATATATATACTTTTTTCACTCTCTAATCACTTAAAAGGACTAGTGGGCATGTAGCTGCTTGGTAGAGTGCATGTTTGAGTGGCTATGTATATCACACCAGTCTTCCAGTGGCATGGCTGGAGGAACACCTCCTTCAGGCAGAGGGTTCAGGCCTGTACCCGGCTCTCCAGCAGGGCCCTTCACTCCTGCCTAAAGCACTACATGCATATGGAACAGTCTCTCGACCTGCTCGGGCAAATGTTTGTGTGTGTGTGTGTGTGTGTGGGAACACGTGAACCAGCGATTTGTGTTCCGTTTACTCTTCACCTTGGTCCTTAGCACTCTGTATCGCAAAGCTCAGGGGACACCTACATACCTGAATAAAAGATAAGAGCTGCTTTTATCTGCCATTAAAACCTGCATCTGGCACCAGGAGCGGCTGGCAACCGGTGTGTGAGAGCATTAGCAAGGTAAAGCACCTGGAGGCTCCATCCATTCATCCCATCTCTCCATCCCATCTCTCCATTTCATTCTCATCTGTGCATCTTTCACCATTCATCCTTTCTTGCAATTCAGTAGCTCTTTGCTTTCAAGCAAACGTAAACAACGTCCAGACACTCTCTTCTCAATGGAGCCTGAGAGCCGTCTGTCTATTCATTCTTTCATTTTTATGAGAGCAGCACACCTGTTTTGCTGTTAAATAATCCATTGATCCATTTGTCAGCCATAAAAGTTGGCTCAGACAGCGCTGGCCGATAGGTAGTATGTGAATGGGGATAGAAAATGGATATTCAGTCACATCACCCGCCGATTCAAGACTTATCTCAATTCAGAAAGTGTGTGAGAGGGCTTTTATGGAACAAATCTGGTTCAATGAATTCTCGGGTGACCTCCAAGTTTCTGTTTGCTACATCACTGGGTTTGACGATTGAATTGTAAGTGCGGGAAGTAATCAAGACTGCGGTATCTTTTACTAGTAGAGGGGCACGAAAGGGGAGAGGTCAGAGTTCAAACTGTCAACAGTAGCTGTATCCAGGGATTAAAGTTCCGTCGCTACGACGGATTTCCGTCAGTTCATAAAGACAGTCACTTGCTTAATTCATGAATGATTCAGCCGTTCAAACGAAACAACTGAATGAATGATTCAGTGATAAAATCAGTGACTTGCCGCCACCTGCTGGCGGGTTTAGTTTTATTTTTAGCG